CATTACAAAGGAAGATAGGTGATCCACTACCTTATTCCCATGCTCCAAGCTGTCCTTGAACGTGGACAACATCTGACTTTGTACTGTGACTATTATAACTTTGTACAGTTGTAAAAAGTGATGTATTTCAAATTGAGAAAGTGACTCAGCTTTTCTTGAGAAATTATGCAGTATTATGTCACCGAAGGAATCCCGACGGCTTTCCCTGCTTCCAACATCTTTTTGTCCTAATTATAGGTACTTAGCCAATGACATGGAAGAAGACACAGAAGACTATAAATATGAAATCTTCCCCTGGGCACTTGGTGACAACTGGAGGAAACTATTTCCACAATTCTTAAAAATGAGAGATGGCTTTTGGGCTAAAATGAAGTATAGAGCGTTTGTTAGCCGGCGGTGTTGTGATGAGGTCAGCTGCAGTTTAATCTGATTAAAACCGGTGGCTTGATGGAGGGAAGGGCAGAATTATTTCCTGCAAAGGAAACTCCACAGTAGACATTAGCAGCTGGGTGGGGGAGTAATAGAGGATAACTGAGGGAAAACTACAAATAATGGAATGAATTTTAACGTTATGCATAGTATGCGTATGGTGTGTCCTTGGGTTAGAAAAAATACACTTCCCTGATGTTCTGCAAAAATGATGGCCCAATAATCTCGTTAGATGTAACACAGCTTCCTTGTCTCTACAAGGTCTATACTAGCTATTATCAGGTGCTTTTTGTAGTTGCCTAACAATGAAAAATATTTTTTTTTTCACAAGTACGATTTTTAGCAGGGTGAGTTTGATATAATAGTTAAGACACCAGGTTAGAAAGTGGGAGACCAAGAGTACTACCAGTCCTGCCTTAGGCACAAAGGCAGCTGGGTGACCTTGGGCCAGTCATCCACTCTCAACCCTAGGAAGAAGCAAGGGCAAAGCACTAAAGACAAACCTTGCCTAGGAAACCGCAGGGGCATGTCCACATCGATGGCATGCTAATTTAATAAATAAAAATAGACTTATGAATGAATTGGACCTGTCTCCTTGCATGTAACGTTAAGAGTAACACTCCACGTTAAACCACGAGAAGATTCAAATGTTCATTTTAATACATGCTGTATTAGAATTTTAGTGATGCTTCATACCTTGCCTGGCATCTTTACATGTTGATAAATAAGTTGAAGATGCCGGGCATAAAAAAAAAGAAAACATGCACTAAACTCAGCAAGATTTATTGAGAAAAAGAGATGGGGTTTACAGAAAAATTCCTGCGTGTGAATGATTAACCGTGTGAACTTGTAAATTCCAGTGTATATTAAACACACACAAAAGAAAGATTTTCTATCTGCCTGCTTGTACCTCAGCAAAGCAGCAAGTCTCTTCCCCCGAAAAGGGAGGCGTTTGTTGTGATATTGACATAACAGTCTCCTGAAACCAACTCTCATAACTATCCGGCTTCCTGTTGTCTCTAGATAATGCTGAGAGAGCCCTCTCACTGGGCCTGGGCCCGTGAACGAGCATCTCACCACAGCGGGGCGCTGAGGAGTTACCTGAAGAATGAAGACGAGTTCGTCCCCAGAGGGCCCGGTGTGACGCCGTCGGTGTGCCTTCTCTGCGTTTTGGACATGGAAGGAAACGTGGCTCAGATCACTCCCCCTGCCCGTGATCTCTTACCGTCGGAAGTGTTGAAAGGAGATTTGGAAAGCTGTCCCTTTCTAATGCTGGATTCAGAGACCAACTACACCGTGATGCAAAGTAAGCACTTAACCATGCTCGGTTCATCTTTAAGGGCGTTTTGAATTTAAAAACGCTCTACTTAATGCAGTCTTTTGAAAGCTAGATTTCAAAAAGAATGAAATAGACAGCTAGTCCTCGACTTAACGACCTCAATTGAGCCCAAAATTTGTGTTACTAAGCAAAACATTTGTTAAGTGAACTTTGCTCCATTTTAACGACCTTTCTTGCCACGGTTGTAAAGTGAGTCCCTGCAGTTGTTAACTTAGCAACACGGTTGTTAAGTGAATTTGTTTTCCCCATTGACTTGGCTTGTCGGAAGGTCGCAAAAAGGGGATCCCATAACCCCGGGACACTCCCAACAATTATAAACGTTGAGTCAAGCGTCTTGAGTTTTGATCTGGTGGTAACCATGAGATTGGCTGCAGCGGTTGTAAATGTGAAAAATGGTCACAAGTCATTTTTTTTTAACTTCGAATGGTCACTAAATGAACTGTCGTAAGTCAAGGACCACCTGTACATTCTTTTGAAATCAGTCTTCCACATTTCATGTTTGGTTTAAACAGAGTAGAGTTAAAAATTAGAAATAAACCTGATACCGAATAAGCATGTTTTTTGGCTGATTTCCAATGACGGAAAGATCTGTTTAACTCTGTGGATCTGATAACTGTTTTAGATATCTTAACACATAACTGTTCTTCCCACAAGACTCCTTCATTTCACAGTTATCTTGTTTGTTCATCCACCCTAGAGCAAATTGAACTTACCCTTTTTATCACTGTGTTGAAGAAGTTAACATTTAGTTTTAGTGTCGGAACCCCAGAGTAGCTGTTATGTTCATCCTTTTCCGTTTTCAAGTGCAACCTCCCAATGCAATTCGAAGCCTTGCGTAGACTGAATCTCAACATAAACCTTTGATATAGTCTTACAGGGACCCACCATGGAGACAGATGGAGCAGAGAAAGATTGGCAGTTCTTGGCATAATATTTGATGGCTGAAGACCTCCCCCCCACCACCGGCATACCAGATTTCCCCCATCGGAGTAGTAGTATTCATGGATGTCCTTCCATCTACATTTGCGGCATTCTATTTATAAGCACTTTATCTTCCTGTTTGTAGAGAGGACACTTAGTAATACTTATTATATTTGTATATATTTAAAAAAAAAAAGCTTATGAATTGTGACTTGTACAATGTCAAAAAAAGTGCCAGTTGGAATGACTCTTAATAAAGACGTCTAGAAGAACAGGCTACAGGGATATATATTTTCAAACTTTTTATCACATTTTACTCTGGTTCATTCGTAGCACGTTTTATTTGTAGAATTACAAGCTGTTTTAGCCCAAAGGAATCTGGAATGATTTGCAGGCCAATTAAAAAGTAGTTCAGGTATTCAGACACACAAGGACAAAACAAGAGAAGGAGAGAAAATTTGGACAGTTTTTAGTCTGCTACTGGTGCAGTCCTTGCAGTTGATGTTATGGTAGAAATTTTGGGGCAGCGCACAGGAATAGAAAGTGAGAAGAGGGGAGAGATTTAAAGCTATTTCTCTCCTCAGCCATATCCTAATGCAATGGCTATTTATTAGATTTCTGACTCACTTTTGTGCCTTGTTGGCCCTTCAGGCAGCTGACAAAACATTAGAAAACTAGAATCAAATAAATGGAAAGTCATGGATAAAAATGGTAATTAACACCTTCCCGTTAACTATATTAATGTGACAGGTGGGCCTGAAGTCTGAATGAAAACATGTTTACTTGCTGGAAGTTTCTGAAAATGATAGCTGGAAAGGGTGTCGTATTTTTATTTATCAAATTCGGAAACCATCCATCTCACTCTTAACTCCTTGTATTTTCCCCCATACAAATATACCTTGATTTGGAGTAAAATTGAAAGGCAAAAAAACCCCCTTCAACGTTTTGGGGGGGAAAGTTAACCCCCCCCCTTTTTTTGGAAGAATATGGTTTTCTGTCATCCCTAGCAACAATTTCAAATTGGGTGGGGAATGAACTGGAGCTGGCATAAAAGGACACATTTCTCAACCTTGGAAAACAAAACAGGTCGCTTTGTGCTCCAATTGTGCTTTAGCTAACCTGTGTACAAAACCTGAAAATTAAACCATGGTTAGCCGTGGGCAAACGTACTGCAGAAAGTCAGGTTATAATAGAAAAAACCTACCCATGATCTAACAGCTGGGGGGGGGTCGGGGGTGGGGGGTGTCTCAGTTTTGTCCAAACCGCAAGCACTTTAGAAGTGTCCTTCCTTTTTTCCCCACAACCCATACAAAGGAGAAGCCATCATCAAGACAGTGGCTCAGACCGTGGTTGTCTGAATCCAAACAACTGCATACAGCGTCACAGACCAGTGTCGTCTAATGATGAAACCACTAGGCTAAAAACAGGAAGGCTCTGAATTCCAGTCCCATTTTAGTCATGTAACTAACTGGGTGACTTTGGGCCCATCACCAGGGGATTGTGAGTTCTAATCCCGCCTTGGGCACGAAAGCCAGCTGGGTGTCTTTGGGTTGATCCCTCTCTCTCAACCTCTCCCACCTCATAAGGTTGATGATGTAGGGAAAACAGGGAGAAGAAGCAGCATTAAGCATGTTCGCCACCTTGAGTTGATTATTTAATATAAAAGTGGGCAAAAATGATGAAGACTTCTCCACTTCTTGGAAATCCCCCTTTCTTGGAGGCGCCTATCAAAAAAGGGGGTGCCCCATTGGAAAACCTGGAATCGTCCCAACAAAGCGCCTTGTTAGATCCCGAAATCTCCACAAGCCAGACTTGTGTAGTGTACACTCATTTGCTGGGAGAGAGTGATGGGCGCTGTAGTCGGAGAGCGCTCCGTTGGGGACAGCCAGCTAGCCCTGGCGGGGTTTCCTAACCGCAGCCAGGCTGAAATGCAGCCGGTCCAGCTTCGCGCCTCTTAGGCTAAGCTAAAAAATAATAAGTCGGAAAACCAGCCGTTTTGCCTTAGAGGGCTACAACCGCCCCGCAATCCGGCCGCTCTGGGGATCGCGCATTAGCAGGTCCGCATCCCGTGCACTCTTCTCTCTCTCTTTTTTCTTTTCGCGCAAAGAAATGAAAACAGACTTTGCGCTCCGGGGCGCCGCCAAGCTCTCTCGGGCGCGGCTCCCCCCGGGTGTTGCAATGCAGGCAGAATGCAGACGCGGAGGAGAGGAAGCCGACTTCGGCTGCTGCTGCTGCTTCCAACCGCGGAAGAGGAGAGCGGCCGCCCAGCTCCCTCCTCCGCCCCGCTTCTTGCCCCTTCCGTCTCCCCAACAAACCCGGGATCGGAGAAAGAGAGAGAAACCCGCCCGGGCCGCCCCTCTTCCGTCTCCAACTCGTGCGTTTTTGCGCAAGGCTTCCCCCGCCGCGCCCTGCTCCAGCTGCCTTTCCCTGCCTTGGCTAACGCCCAGCGAGGGAGGAGTTGCTGGGCCACGAACTGGCGGAGACGGGCGGCGAGGAGGGGGTGCCCGAACGACGCTCCTGCGCCGAAAAAAGCTTCCCTTACCCTCTCCTCCGGTGTAAAAGATCCCGGGGCCTTTTTACTCCGTCCTAGGCCGAGGGGACGCTCCGGGGCGCAGGTAACGACTTCGGGGCTTGGCTTCGGGAGGCGAGATTTGGAGAGGGAAAAGTGCTGGAGTTTGCGGTTGGGGGGTTGGCCTTTTGGGGAAAAAAAAAATATTCTTAGTATCTGCCTATTACACAACCCGCTCCTCCTGGAGAGGTCCAACTTGGCCTTGTTATTTCTTTAAATAAAAGTATTGTTAAATTTGTTATTTGGGGAAAGCGAGCGCGCCGGTTTAAGGAGAAGCCGCGAAAGCGGCCAAGTTCGCTTTCATGATTCTTTCTCTTTCTCTCCCGGTGGCTCTCCGTGGCTTTAATGCAGGGGGGGAAAGGGTACTTCTGAGCATGGGCAGAGAACCTAGGGGTTCTCCCCGAGATAATTACTCTCTCCAACTGGGTGAAAGCAGCGGAACAGCCTGGTTATTTGAGCTGCAGAAAAGTAAGGGTTGTGTCAAATGTTTTTGAGATTTCCCCCTCCCCTTTTGGCCTACATCTGCACTACAATTCCCTCCACCTCTTGCCTGGATGGGTGTTGTGGTCCATGCATTTTGAGGGCCTTGCTGGGCTCCTTTCCCACGGCTTTGTGTTAGATGTCGGTGACGTTGTGGCCGAGTTGTAAGAAAATACATACATAACAAATGTATGGGGCCTGCATATTTTATAGGCAACGGAAAAGCAATATAAATATCTGCGGACTGAGTCACCCATGTTGGTCATCCCAGCCAGGTTTTTATAGACACAACTTTCAAAATTTTATCAGCAAGTTTCTGGACTCTTTGGAAGTTCTGGGGTTTAACTTCAGGCCTTCTGGAAACAAACCTGGGTCTGTTTTATGGTGTCCTGTGGTCTGTCTTCTATAAATGATCCGGTGAAGATTCTAGTCCTCATGGGGCTGATGATTTAAATCTGAAGGTACTTCTACATTCTGCTGTGGTGCAGATGTTTGTGCTATCTGTCCCCCAAACTTTGAAGCAGGGAATTTTTTACAGCGGTTCCTGGAAACACAATGGTAGAATCCTAATTCTCTGCCTAATTTAATTGGGTTGCATTGATGTATTAGTTCCTCAAGAGGAGGATGCCAAGGTGGCAGGATGTTTAAACGGAGAGTAATTTGTTGCCCCATCCTGGATCTTCCAGGTAGGGAGATCAACCTGGGTATTTTGAGCCCCTAGCCCTTGCTCCAGAGTAGTCAAACTTTCCAGGAAGTTGAAAAGCCTTCGTGCATTTTAAAACTCAGAGCAGGGCATCATGAAACATGGCCAGGTGAGGAACCAGGCTGGCATGGTGTGGCCTTTTGTGGAAAAGACAAACTTCATGCCAGGCCTTCGGAGGAGTAAAAAAACAAGGGGTCCTCAAACGTACGGCCACAATTGGGACTGAGTTTCTGTCCCTAAGCAAGGCAGCCAGCAAATTGCCTGCTATTTATTTACTTATTTTATTGGTCAATCGCTTACAAGATAATAGGTATAAGTATAAACATGAGTAAGAATACAGGAAATAGGTACAAATAAATGGAGACAATAGGATAGGGACGGTAGGCACGATGGTACACTTATGCACGCCCCTTACAGACCTCTTAGGAATGGGGTGAGGTCAATAGTGGTTAGTAGTCTGAGGTTAAAGGAGTGGGAGGGTTAGAGGATGTAACAACAGTCAGGTAGTGCATTCCAGGCATTGACCACACTATTGCTGAAGTCGTACTTTCTGCAATCAGGTTTGGAGCGGTTTACATTGAGTTTGTATCTGTTGTGTGCTCTTGTATTGTTGCAGTTGAAGCTGAAGTAGTCATTGACTGGTAGGACATTGTAGCAGATAATTTTGTGTGCTACGCTTAAGTCCAACCGTAGGCGACATAGTTCAAGGTTGTCCACGCCCAAAATTTCAAGCCTGCTGGTGTAGGGTATTCTGTTGCGAGCAGAGGAGTGTAGTACTTTTCTCATGAAATACTTCTGGACTCGCACAATTGTATGAATGTCCGATATACATTGCAGATTCCAGACTGATGAGCTGTGTTCGAATAAGGGTCTAGCAAAAGTTTTGTATGTCCTAGTTAGCAATTCAATATTTCACTGCCTTTTCTGCCGTGATGGTTATGTGAAATTGCTGTGGTTGCTAAGTGGATCACATGGTCATTAAGCAAATCCAGCTTTTCCCCATTTGACTTGACTTTTTGGAAATCCCTTGGGAAAGTCGCCGATGGGGATCACGTGACCCTGGGAACACAGCAACAGTCACAAATATGTGTCAGTTGTCAAGCACCCCAAATTTTGATGGCGTGGCCCTGGGGATGGTTGCGCCAGTTGTAAGTGCGAGGATTTTTCTCATTTTCCAGTGCCGTCGTAACTTCGAACAGTCCCCGAATGAGTGGCTGGAAGTCAAGGACTACCTCCAAAAGAACACAGGTCCTGAATTTATGACCTACAATGAGGTGTTTCTGCAGAAAGAGGAAGCAAAATTATTTTTCGTGCTTGGGGAAAGGGAAAAATAATAATAATAAAAAAAGAAACAAGTTAAATGAAAGAAAGTGCAACAGGATAAAACAGGATAAAGAGGGTGTTTGCGCACAGCTCCTTGCTGGAAGCAAAGTGTGAATTATTTTGGTTTGTCAAGTCTTATCTGAGTTCTGGTGTCCTCCCAACTGTGTGTGTGTGTTTTGTTATCTTTTGAAGTCTTCAATTCCTTATCCTGCCCTGTCTCCTTAATTGCTGCAGTGTGGTTTGTGTTGGTTTTTATTTATAATTTATATGTACTTTGGGTTCGGACTGAATTTCTTCCCTTTAAAAACTGTTCTTGGAAGAGTTTTTTTTCTCCAGCCGATGATAACTGAACATTGGGGGCCAAGTTGGTGGAATTAAAGGGACTTTACCTATTTTTGTGACTTTGTTGCTTTTGTGCCACGTCCTGGGTCATCTCATTCCCCTTTATCTTTAATTTCCATCGTCAACCTGTCCACTTCAGCGCACTCAAGTATTTTCCTTATTACCGTTTCCTCTGTGGATGTATTTCTTCTTTTCCCAATTTTGTGCGTAGCTAATCCTCTCCACTGTTATTACAAGAAGCATCAAGGACTGAGTTTTCTTATTATATTTCCCTGTTAAGTGTGCCCAATAGAAATAACATGGCTTTAAGTCTATCTGTTGTTTTATCATCTCCTCCAACCAATTGTGGTGGACCTGTATTGGGCAAAGATGACCGTTTTTCATACTTACGACCATTGCAGAAAACCCCATGGTCATGTCATCAAAATTCAGACGCCTGGCAAACTGACTCATATTGATGACGGTAGCAGTGTCCCTTTTTGTGACCGTCCGACAAGCAAAGTCACTTAGCAACCGGATTACAAACGTCACCACCTCAGCAGTTTGCTTAGCATCTGGAGCAAGAAAGAGTCGTAAAACGGGGCAAAACTCGCTCAACCAACATCTCGCTTAGCAACAGAAATTTGGGGTTCGATTGTGGTCGTAAGTCGAGGGCGACCCGTATTGCAAATTTTTGACCTTTTGAATTCCATGTGGCTTTGATTCTTCGGGGACAAGATTCAGGACAAGGTGGATGGTTTTATAGTTGCGGCCAAACTTTCTCAAACTGCGTGTTTTGCAAACAACAGGACAAGAAGATAAGCAACTTAGAACGAAGGAGAAAATTTCCCGACAGAACAATTAATCTGTGGAACAACAGTGAATGCTCCAACACTGGAACTTTTTAAAAAGATGTTGGATAACCCTTTGTCTGAAGTGGTGTAGGGTTGGACTAGAAGACCTCCAAGGTCCCTTCCAACTCTGTTATTCTATTCTAAGTTTTGTAAATACGGTGAGATTTGGCTAGGTCAAAATATTGAATCGGTGTTTGAAATGATTGAAAGATTCCCACTTCGGACCATTGTGAAGTACGTATTTATTTATCTGGTCTTTCCCACCTTCTCCTGATACCGGTTGAGCAAGTCTCAACCTCTTCCTACCATGGGCGAGTCTGCCAAAGGCTTTCCGAAATCATGAATCATCTCAAGGATTTTCTCAAATGCCTCCCCTTAATATGCTCATCATTACAGGTAGTCTTTTGACTTACAACCGTTTAATTAGTGGCTGTTCAAAGATATAACGGCAGTGGAAAAAAGGGACTTAAAACTGATCCTCACACTTGAGCAAGGGGGGTTGGACTAGAAGACCTCCAAGAACCCTTCCATCTCTGTTATTCTGTAAAATTCCACTTAACAGATTAACAGAGTTGAAAGGGACCTTGTAGGTCATCTAGTCCAACCCCCCCACCCAAGCAGGAGGCCCTGCACCATTTCTGACAGATGGCAGTCCAGTCTCTTGTTGAAAGCTTCCAGTGATGAAGCTCCCACGACTTCTGAAGGCAACTTCTGTTCCACGGGTTGATTGTTCTCCCTGTCAGAAAATTCCTCCTTATTTCCAAGTTGAATCTCTCCTGGATCAGTTTCCATCCATTATTCCTTCTCTGGCCTTCAGGTGCTTTAGAAAATAGCTTGACCCCCTCTTCCTCTCTGTGGCAGCCCCTCAAATATTGGAAGACTGCTCTCCTGTCTCCCCTGGTCCTTCTCTTCATTAGACCAGCCAGGCCCAGTTCCTGCAACTGTCCATCGTATATTTTGTTTGGGTTGGACTAGAAGACCTCTGAAGTCCCTTCCAGACCTAGGCCATGTCCAGTTCCTGCAACTGTTCATTATATGTTTTACCCTCCAGTTCCCTGGTCATCCTGGTTGCTCTTCTCTGCATTCTATCTAGAGTCTCAACATCTTTTTTTTTTTATAATGTGGTGACCAAAACGATGCAATATTCTAGGTGTGATCTTGGGCAGGGAGTAGGGTGATCTTGCTATGCTGAGCTACAAGAAAGTATAATGTCTTCAAGATTTCAAAGCACGCCTAAACTAGGTTAGGTTAAAAAAACAAAACACCTTGCTACATATTTTTTTTTCTCTCACACACATTCAAATTGACCTCTACAATTTTACATTTGCCCAGGATGATTCTGGGAAGCAGCCAAAATAAGCAAGTAGATCATTTCCTTCTCTTTAGCTGGAGGAAATGCCAAATAGAACCCTGTTCTGCTCACCTGGCATTTTCCTTTTGTGAATTCTGAATGCCAGGTGAACTGGTTGCAGAGATGCCAAGGCATTTTCCTAGGTGCAGTAAAGTGGAATAAATAACTTTTCATTGGCTTGGGGTTTTCGTATTTGCTTTTTTTTCTTTGTATGTAGCGGTAAGCAAGGATTATGGTTGCTTTTTTTTCAAGAGGCAACTGGACTTTCGGTTTTTTTCTTTGAAGACGTTTCGTTTCTCATCCAAGAAGCTTCTTCAACTCACTTCTTGGATGAGAAGTGAAATGTCTTCAAATAAAAACCAGAAAGTCCAGTTTCCTCTTGAAAAAAAAAAAAAGCACCTTTGAGACAACCATGATCTGGATGACTGTGAATCTCCATAGACGAGGATCATGTTGATAGGCAGGACAAATATTGAAAATACTGAAGTGGGTAGGGATGAGATTAAATTGACTATTTATTGCCAGGGACAAAAGTAAAATCTACCCACTTGAACAGATCCCTAATTACAGATAGTCCTCAACTTCCGACCACAGTTGGGAGAAGAATTTCTGTTGCTAAGGAAGGCAGAGTTTTGACTGAGTCGCACCTGAACTTTTTGCCATCGTTGTTAAGCCAATCAGTGCGGCTGTTAAGTGAGTCAAGGGGTCATTAGGGCACTTTGCAGAGCAAGATGGGCAGAATATAAATTTAATTGATAAATACTTGCCGGTTGCCAAGCACCAGAATTGTAATCTCTTGCAACCCTGAGCAACACATATTCTCTTTCGTTGCAATCCCTTGACTATGGCTGTGATAGTCGTAAATCTGAGGATTGGTTGTAAGTCACTTTTTTTCATCATAATTTCTAACAGTTGCTAGGGAAGTGGTTCTAAGTCAAGGACTGACTACCTTACTTAGAGACACATTGTGGTAATTCTCTTGACAGTAAAAAGGGTGTTTGTGTCTGTTTCTTTTGGACTTCCTAGCTCAGCCTGGAGCCCTAGAATCTCCTGGTGGTATCTCATCCAAGCCTTAGCCAACCCAACCTGCCTTCAATTAACTCAGGTAAGGTCAGTGTTAATCGAGTGTTAACCGGTTGCTTTTTTCGCATCCACTTTAATGCACAGACACCACCTTAAAATAGGTGCAGTGCCAAAATTGGATGGGATAGATTTTGGAGACACTGTCTGAAAACCACTCCAGGCGAATTTGGAAATTTTCACCTTTTGAAATATTGCAGTGTTATTTAAATCTTTTGAATCTTAACTTAATTCTGATTTTAATGTTAATTTTATCCATTGTTATGTATTGATTATATTGTATGCAGCCCAGGTGGGCAGCTAAGAAAAGGAAGGGAGGGAGGGAGGATGAAAGAAGGAGGGAAGGAAGAGGGCGAAAGTAAGGAGGACAGAAGGAAAGGAGGAAGGAAGGGAAAATGAAAGGGAGGAGGGAGGAAGGAAGGAGGGAAAAGGGAAGGAAGGGAGGATGAAAGAGGGAGGGGGGGGGAGGAAGGAAAGAGGGAGGGAGGGAGGGTGGAAGGAAGGAAGTTTGCTTACCTTTGACAATCTACCACACTGCTTCATCAACCTCTCACCCCATAGGGCGATTGTTAAATGAATCTCACCCAATTTTACGACCTCTTTGGCCACAGTTGTTAAGCCAATCACTGCAGCCGTTAAGTGAATCACACCATTGTTAAGCGAATCCAGCTTCCCCCGTTGACTTCCCTTGTCGGAAGCTGTCTGGGAAGGCCTCGAATGGCAACCCTGGGACCCCCCCCCCCGGGACAGGGCCCGAATTGCAAACCACGTGACGGCAGGGATGCTTGCGGTGGTCACGAGCCCCTTTTTATCCGATCCTGCTTTGGAACGGTTGTAAGTCGAGGAACCCGCGAAACGATCTTTCCTTCTCTTCCTAAGCCTCTGGCGTGGATCTTGGATTCCCGCAGAAGCTTCTGAGACAGATTAAGAGCTGGCAGGGAAAACGATCGGCCTTGGCTTTCGTTCAACAGGGATAGCCATGCAGGCAGGAATTCAGAGAGAGAGAGAAGGAGAGAGAGAGAGAGAGAGAGAGAGTGAGAGAGAGAGAGTCCCCGTGTGCTGTCCTTTTGGGCTTCTGACGCCTGGAAACTGGAATGCCAAGGATACAACAGGTGGCATTTAACAAGGATTAGGAGAAACCAGTGCTAGCGTGTTCCACGCTTGGTTTGAAAAAAAGACCGCTTAGATCTGGAGTGAACCTGTTTTACCTTCCTAAAAACAATTAAAACAAAAACTCAGCCTGGGCATAGGGAACCAAATTTTTGCATGGCTTCAATTGGTCTCCTCCGTTGCTCTCTTCAGATTTTCTCAGGCCTTGCGCCTCCTTGGCGATCATGAGGGCCAGAAACTTGGAAGGAAGGAAGGAAATTCAGTTCTTTGCTCATCACTGCAAGATTTGGTTTATTTTCCCCCCTCCTTCGTTTCTCTAACTCTGCTTGTTTTTTTCATGCATGAAGAAAGCGGGGAGGGGAACTCTTTGGAATGACCTAAATTCAACAATAAAATTCCTTAGGCACTCTGACTTGTGTGCGAGACTATCTTGCTGAATTTCAAGTTTTTCTAGGGAAGTTCCGGGGTTTTGGAGGACATTCCTTATATAAAACAGATGTTCCCTTCAGTAAACACGTAGACGTGTTTAAGACAGCAGCAGTCACCATGCCAACTCCTTAATTTAATCATTTTATCTTCGTGCTGGCAGGTTTTTTTATCCTGTGGCTGGTTTATAAAGCAGTTTTAGTGCAGACCTGCTTTATAAACCATGGTTTGTGGCTGAGCCAAGTCATTGTGGTTTTATTTAACAGCAGCAGGCTGAGGTTCCACAATGACACATCAAGCCCTGGCTTGATTGACCTTTAAATGGCTTAGCCATAAATCATGTTAATGCTCTACAATGCTTAATTTCACTTAACAACGGTATGCTCACTTAACAACCATGGGATTTGCTTAACACCATAAAAATGGCCGGGAAATCTGCTCTAATCACATGATGACTCCATCTCCAGCCCAACTGCAATCATGGTTACATAACCACGTCACTTAGCGACCAAAATTCCGATCCCAATTGCCATAACTCAAGGACCGTCCATATTTTTTCTTTTCACTTCTGATCTGAGGCCATAATAAATTCTGTCATTTTGTGTGTGTGTGTGTGTGTGTGCGCGCGGTTTGTCTGCGACTGTTAGCTATGGAATCCTAATTTATCGCTGCAACATAGCTTGAGAAAGTGGAGGGGGGGTGATATAAATTGAGTAGCTCTTAGTAGATAAAATAGAATTCTTTTGATAGTTCAAGGTCAAAGAGTGTGGCGCAGAAAGAATTGGAACCTACTTTGGGATTGGTTCATGTGATGTGATGATGAGTAAAAAGGGGGTGGTTTGTAAAAAGGGGACATTGTGGGAAGTCAGGGTAACTTTTAGTTTCAGAATTCCACAGATGTGCCAGGTGCTATTCTAATAAAAGTACTTTTGAGATTATGCTTGTCTTGGAATTACTGATTGGAATGGATGTTCCCTGGAACGCTGACAGCAACCTAATAAAACTCCCTGTCTTTATTTTGGATATTCTGTGCAATTACGCTTTCGGGTTATTTCCTGTAACCATGAGGACTAGAGACTTTAAACATATAGATGCCGTATTGTACCGAGCAATCGACTGTTTTCCTACCAACTGGAATCTAGTTTTAAGTCCTCTCTTAATCTCTTTCAGGGAATTTGATCGCTTGGATAATCAACCAAGATGTCGGAAGAGATCATCGTCCCAATTTATTGCACCGGGATCTCAGCTCAAGTTCAGAAGCAACGGGCCAAGGACCTGGGTTTGGGGAAACATGAGAACGCAGTCAAGCACTTGGGCCAGGATTTTGAGACGCTTCGCAACGAATGCCTGCAGAACGGGAGCCTCTTCAGGGACGAGACTTTCCCCGCCACGGCCTCTGCGCTGGGTTTCAAAGAACTGGGGCCAAATTCTTCTAAGACCTACGGGGTCAAGTGGAAGCGCCCAACGGTGAGCCTTAAATTTTTAGGGTGCAGAAATTTCCTCTAAAAACATCTTTTTTTCCCCCCTCTCTTTTTTTAAAAAAATTTAAATTTTATTAAACAAACAAACACCAACAAAGACAAAAAGAAACTTTAAAAACATTGAACATGGTACAGTCCTCCTAACCCACATATTTGTCTTACATTGCTAAATCACATATAAAAAGAGTACATGTTTGCGTTCTATATATAATATATATGTACATTTAATCATTTCTTATTGTCTTGATCCTTTCTTTTTTTCTAACCAACCATAAACCTTATCTCATGTTTTGTAATAATCCGATTCATCCTTATTTTTTAATTCCTTTGTCTATTTGTCCATTTCTGCACCTATCCAGATTTTCCTAATTATTTCTAATTCACTTGCAGTTTCTTTACCTTTCCGTTGTTGTGCATAAGCCAATCTCGCAGCTGTGATTATATGAATTATTAAATATACGATATCCTTGTCATATTTCCCCACATGTGATTCCTAACGGGGGGGGGGTTCTTTTGAAGGGTCCTCAGTGGTCTCCAGGTCACAAACGACCATCATAAAATCTGAGCTGGTTGCCACAAGCATCCAGATTGTGAACCAGAGGGGGGGGGGGATAAGGTTGGGCCGAGAGTCGTCACTTTTAAAGTATTTATTTCCCAAAGCTGTTATAAATTTCAAACCGTCGTTAAACAAATAGGTTATAAGTCAAGGGACTGTCTTCTTGTTTGGAAAGTGACTAGAGGGGTTCAGGAGGGATAAATACGGTATGGCTGTGGATGGATTCTTGGATCCAAGACAGGAGGTGGTCAGTGCTGGCTGCAGGGGTGAAGGCTTGGGGGCTCCCTGAAGGCATCTAGCTGACCTCTAAAAGGGGCCAGTTGCCTGATGTGTAGTCTTCACACCCTGCTGGTGTTCTCAAGTTCTTCCGCCATTTAACAGCTTTTTTCCCTCGTTGAATCTTCCAGGAAGTGTGCCGGAACCCACTTTTCATCGTAGATGGTGCCACGCGGACAGATGTTTGCCAAGGAGCTCTGGGTGAGTGGCGAGACCTGCAGCCCCTTGGATTTTCACATCCCTGGGCCCTTTTTCTGTCTTTTCCCCCCCAAACAGACGGGAGCTGAAAAGCTTAAGAAAAGCAACCTTAGAACTAAGGGGGAAATTTCCTGACAGTGAGATCAATGAACCAGTGGAACAAATTTCCTCCAGACGCTGTGGGTGCTCCATCAGTGTTTAACAGATAATCAGAGTTAGAAGGGACCTTGTTGATCATCTAGTCCATCCCCTGGCCCAAGCGGGAGACCCTACACCATTTCTGCCAAATGGCAGTCCAATCTCTTCTTGAAAGTCTCGAGTGATGGCGCTCCCACAACTTCCGAGGGCAACTTCTGTTCCATCGGTTGATTGTTCTCCCTGTCAGAAAGTTTCTCCTTATTTCCAGGTTGAATCTCTCCTTGATCACTTTCCATCCATTCTTCCTTGCCTGGCCTTCAGGTGCTTTAGAAAATAGCTTGACCTCCTTCCTCCTCTCTGGGGCCACCCCTCAAATATTGGAAGATGCTCTCCTGTCTCCCCTGGTCCTTCTCTTCCCTAGACTAGCCAGGCCCAGTTCCTGCAACCGTTCTTCATATGTTTTAGTCCCCTCAACATCCTGGTTGCTCTTCTCTGCACTCTTTCTAGAGTCTCAGTGTCTTTATAAGTGTGGTGACCAAAATTGGATGCAGGACTCTAGGTGTGGCCTTACTAAGGCTTTATAGAGTGGTATTAGTCCCTCCCTTGATCTCAATTGTATCCCTCTGTTAATGCAGCTTAGGATTGCATTGGCTTTTTTGGCTGCTGCCGCACACGGCTGGCTCCTATTTATCTGGTTGTCCTCTAAGACGCCAAGATCCCTCTCCCAGTTACTGCTATTGAACCTGGTTTCACCCCAGTCTATATCTGTCCTTTTGGTTTTTCTTGCCTAAGTGTAGGACTTTCCTTTTCTCTGCATTGAATTTCATTTTGTTAAATATGGCCCAGTATTCTAGTCTGTTCTAGTGGAGGCCTTTAAGAAGAGATTGGACAACCATTTGTCTGAAATGGTATAAGGTCTCCTGCTTGGGCAAGGGGTTGGACTAGAAGACCTCCAAGGTCCCTTCCAACTCTGTTATTCTGTATACCACTTCAGACAAATGCCTATCCAATCTCTTATTGAAAACTTTCAGTGTTGTAGCACCCACAACTTCTGGAGGCAAGCAGTTCCACGGGTTAATTTTTCTCACTGCCAGGAAATTCCTTGTTCCAGGTTGGATGTACCTCTGAGCAGCTTCCACCCATTGCTTCTGGCCCCAGCAGTTATAGGAAAAGTTCTTCCCCTCTGGTTGTTTCCACACCCTTTTGTCAATTATCTGATCTGCGCCTGCATGGAGATGCCACCCCACCCTGTGACACCCAGCCAACTTTGGGGCTAAGAAACAGGTTGCAGCTTGTAATAATTCCAGACATGGTTGGCAGCTCCACTACCTCTGTGTGGTCCTTCCCGACCAATTGCGATCATTGCAACATTGCAAACCAAGGATGCATCTTGCAATGTAGCCTGGCTTGGCTTAACAAGCCACAGCTGGCTGGGTTTTTCAAACAGCAAAGCCTTTCAAACTGACAAGGTGTGTGAATCAAGTTACAACCGAGTCCACAAAGCAAATTTTTGCAGCCCAGGATTCTTGATTGATAGAAGCCCTGTGGATTATTATTTTTTTTTAGTTTATCTAGTCTTGTCTGGAGATGTCAAGCATTGATCCTGCGATCTTTCGTATACAGCAATTAGGCCTTTTTATCTGTGTGAGTCTATAGTAATTTCCTGGGTTTAGAGTAAAGATAGAGCGCAACTTACAACCAGAATATAAGTTGTGCCAGTCATTAAGCGGGTCACCACATAACCACGTCCAATTTTGCATCCATGTTTCTTGTGGTCGTTAAGTGAATACTGCAGTCATTAAACAAATTGATCTGCAAAACACTAAATTGTGTTTAAATTGTGGTCACATGACTGCAGGATGCTGCAAATGGCTGTGCATTTTTTCCCCCCTAGAAACCGATTTTTATTTCTGGTTTCTGGGGGAAAAAACCAAGTCCATTGTGGCCCATGAATTTAGGTTCAGGTAAGGACTGCCACAAAAAAAAGTCATAAAAATGAATTGGTCACGTAATGACCAGCTGAACAACTAACCTGACTGTACTTCCAGGCTCAATTACCATCTTAAATTGAAGACTATCTGAAAGAAGAGGGAAAAGGTTGTTTTTTGTTTAATCAGTGGAACAGCTTAGCTAAGTTCAGAAGTTGTGGCTACTCCATCACTGGACAGAACAGTCTGGACAGCTATTGTCCAGAATGGTATAGGGCCTCCTGCTGGAGCAGGGGGTTGGACTAGAAGACCTCCCAGGTCCCTTCCGATCCTGTTATTCTATGTTCTAATATTTTTTATGAACTCTTTCTGTATAGCAGGCTGAATTTTCTGGTCTCTCTCTCTCTCTCTCTCTCTAGGGGACTGTTGGCTGTTAGCTGCCATCGCATCCCTCACGCTGAATGACCCCCTTCTCCATCGCGTGGTCCCCCACGGACAAAGCTTCCAGAACGGATATGCTGGTATCTTCCACTTCCAGGTGAACACCTGTCTGATCCTTTGTCCAAGGCCCACGGGTTTATTCCGTCTTCCTTTTTGAAATACAAGCAGTGGGTTAGCCTTGTGAGATAGTGCAGAGAAGAATTACAGGGATCACCCAAAGAGCCGCATGAGGCTCCAGAGCCGCAGGTTGCTGACACCCTGTAGACTCCTGCCCTCCCAATATAGGTAGTCCTTTTTTTTTTGTAAATTTTATTTGAGTTTTCACAAAGAAAAAAAAAATACAAATCAAACATCTTTTTTGAAAGTGGCGTAATCCCGGGTTACATTTCTTCGGACAGACACAAATTCAACTTCATGCTCATTTTTATATTCTATTCTATATCTTATTACTGTTTTACATTTTCAGCATAGCTTCTCGCCTCTTTTAATTTTCTCAATTTTATTTTAATTATCTCTTCTCAATTCAAATCATTGTATTTATATATTTTGTCTGTCCTGTTTCAATTATCTATTATCTTTTCTCATTAAACAATATTTCTCCTGTAGTTACTGATTGGAATATGACGCCTTTATATCTTTTCCCTAACGTTGTAACATTCAATATAATACATAACTTCGATTCAGATTCTGCTTGGTACATTCTTAAAATACACACTGTATTCTTAAAAAAAGAAAAAAAATTATAAATGTATATAATTAAAACAACATTCCATTCCAATTCAATTCTATCATTAATATTAATATTCATTAAAGTCTTAACATCTTTAACATTACTTTTCAATTAAATATCATACTTCTATGGGAACAATTATAAGCTTTCCATAGTTAATTCCCCCACCCTCTTCACTTATATTTTATAAAGCAATAATTAATTAAGATGTTCCCGTTCTCCCCTCTTCACCACCTCTACGGGGTGGCTTAGCCCCGAAAGCAGCTGGCTCGGGGCGCTCCAGCGGCGAGCCCAGACCGAAACCGCGCACAATCGCGGATTTCTGTCTGTCACCGAAGAGACTTCAAACCGGAAGCCGCCCAGGAGTTCTTATAGCTCTATATTCATCATACCATTCCATTAACAGAGTCTTGACTGTGCATTTCATCCTTAGAGTGAGAGAAACTACAGCTATTCCTCGAGTTACAACAGTTATTTAGTGACCGTTCAAAGTTACGACGGCACTGAAAAATGTGACTTATGACTGTTCTTCACAGTTATGTTTCCCAAAGTCGCACGATCCCATTTTGCGACCTTCCGACAAGCCAAGTCAGCGGGGAAGCCAAATTCACTTAACAACCATATTACTAATTTAAAAACTGCAGCGATCCCCTTAACAACGGTGGCAAGGAGGCTTGTAAAACTCACTTAACAATGTCTTGCTTAACAACAGAAATGTTGGGTTCAGTGGTGGTTGCAGATCGAGGACTACCTGCATTGACTTGAAGGCGCTTAAAAAGGCCAGGATCATTGGTTTAGCACGGTTGCACAATTGTGGTCTATTATCACACGTTTCCCCTAGTAGGGCAGCCACTGAGTATGGCTGACCTGTAAATTCTTGACTTCTTTTGGTCTTCTGAAAACAGATCTGGCAGTTTGGGGAATGGATAGACGTGGTGGTGGACGATTTGCTCCCGACAAAAGACGGCAAGCTGGTGTTTGTTCATTCTGCCGAAGGAAATGAGTTCTGGAGCGCCCTACTCGAAAAAGCTTATGCCAAGTACGTATCGTTTGATTTATTTTTATTTTGGAGAGGAAAGTGTTTCAGAGTCGATCTTAGCTGTCAGTAGATTTGGCATTCTTCCCCCCCCCCTCCCCACTCTGTCAAAAATTGGCTTCTGGAGAAGACTCAGCATTCCCTGTCTGTGAAATGGGCTCCACAGGTTGGGGATCCCTGTAATAAAACACATTATATATATAATCACAAATATAAAGTGCAGCTTCAGCAAACAAATGAAGGCAAAGCCATGATAAAATCACTGTAGAATGGCATAAGATAGATAACTATCCTTTGATCTCTCCCTAGGTTGAATGGCTCCTATGAGGCCTTATCTGGAGGAAGCACCTCGGAAGGGTTTGAGGACTTTACAGGCGGGGTGACCGAGTGGTACGATCTCCGGAAGCCTCCCAGCGATCTCTTTCAGATCATTTTGAAAGCCCTGGAGAGAGGATCTCTTATGGGATGCTCCATTGACGTGAGTATATCAGGGAAGTCATCTCGCCTTCTCTTAGACATGGGCACCCCAGCAGGATGGGCACATGTGGGTGGACTCCTAAGTCATTGGTCACTTGGCAAGCTTTATTACTATTGACTAATAAGGTAAGGCAAAATTAAGGTAAGGTAAGGATAGAAAGAAAGAGAGGGAGAGAGAGAGAAAGAAAGAGAGAAGAAAAGAAGAAGAAAGAAAGAAAGAAAGAAAGAAAGAAAGAAAGAAAGAAAGAAAGAAAGAAAAAAGGAAGGAAGGAAGGAAGGAAGGAAGGAAGGAAGGAAGGAAGGAAGAAAGAAAGAAAGAAAGAAAGAAAGAAAGAAAGAAAGAAAGAAAGAAAGAAAGAAAGAAAGAAAGAATTATTTATTGGCCAAGTGTAATTGGACACACAAGGAATTTGTCTTGGTGCAAATACTCTCAGCGTACATAAAAGAAAAGATACATTCGTCAAGAGTCAAGAATCATTAGGTACAACACTTAATAATAGTCATAGGGTACAATAAGCAATCGAATCATACTAGGAAACAGTCAATATAAATTGTAAGGATACAAGCGACAAAATTACAATCATACAGTCACAAGTGGGAGGGTATGGGCGATAAGAAGTGATGAGAAGTTTAACAGTAATAGTAGTGCAGACTTTGTAAATAGTTGGGACAGTGTTGAGGGAATTATTTGTTTAGCAGAGTGATAGCTAAGATAAGATAAGGTAGAAGAAGATGATAGATGATAGAATAAGATAAGATAACATAAAATAACAAGATAAGATAGACGATAAGACAATAAGATGAGATAAGTTATAAAAATAAGATTAAATAAGATAACCTTAATTGTCACTTTTTTCTGTGAATACACTGGCAGACACGTTAAAAAATGAAATTCTGATGCCGACTCTCATTTTATTACTTATTAAATTTTTATGCAAGGTGGCTCTGGGCGACTTACTGTATATAGCGAGTCCTTGAGTTACTACTATAATGGAGCCTGACTTACTTAAGCTTAGAATAACTTTATTGTCATTTTGAATGTGCACTAATTGGCATGCATTAAAACGAATCTGGATCATAGTTTGTGACAGTCTTAAATCGGGTCATCCATACGACTGACCTGATTTTACAACCGGTTGTTAAGCAAATGCCGTGGAAATCTGTCGTAACTTTAGATGGTCACTTAAGTGGTCAGTGATAAGTCGAGGACTACCTGTAGCTCCATTCCACTTCTTTGTGGGCATTCGGAGCTCATCGTTTCAGTTTTTCTCTTCTAACCCTTCTTCCTTCCCACTCTGAATTCCAGATCACAAGTGCATTTGACATGGAAGCGGTCACTTTCAAGAAGCTGGTGAAAGGCCATGCTTACTCGGTCACCGGAGGTGAGCAGGTGAGAAACGTTGAAGCGTCATAAACAAACTTGAAAGAGAAGAATAATGCCAAGCGCCAGGGAAATCGGGAGATCCAGACTGTTCAAATGGGTATAGAGAATTATCGCAAGCTTAAGCTCTCTGCGAGAATCCGAACTGCTAACAGCCAAGGGAAATTAGCGGGAGATAAGGAATTCATGGTGGGATGGACTTGTGGGTACAAAGGGATTCACGACCGATGACACATTTGACCCTTCGGGCTCAGCTGGACCATCTACAGAAATATAATATTACATGCCATGTACAGATAGTCCTTAACTTACAACATTCATTTAACAGCCATTTGAGCTTACAACAGTCCTGAAAACAACTTAGAACCAATCCTCACGCTTATGACCGTTGTAGCATCCCCAGGATCCCACGCTCAAAATTCGGGCACTTGGCAACTGTAAAATGTATTTGGGGTCATGTGATCACCATGTGTGACTTTCCCAGCTGGCTTTCGACAAGCAACGTTAATAAGGGAAGCCAGATTCACTGAACGACCGTGCGATTCACTTAACAACTCCAGTGATTTTCTTAACGACCGTGGCAAAAATGGGTTGTAAAATCAAGCCCTTAACAGCCTCCTTGTTTGGGAATGGGGTCCCAATTGGAGTTGTAAGTTGAGGATTACCTGGAACGTGATTGTCTCAGAAATCATGTTGAATTTATTCTTTGACACTAAGAAGTATTCCCAGTCTGTTTTCAGATTTGCACTCAGCTCTCAATAGCAGTAGCAGTAGCACTTAGACTTATATCCCGCTTCACAGTGCTTTTACGGCCCTCTCTAAGTGGTTGACAGAGTCAGCCTCTGGCCCCCAACAATCTGGGTCCTCATTTTACCCACCTCAGAAGGACAGAAGGCTGAGTCAACCTTGAGCTGGTCAGGATTGAACTACTGGCAGTGGGCAGAGTTAGCCTGCAATACTGCATTCTAATAGGAAGGAAGGAAGGAAGGAAGGAAGGAAGGAAGGAAGGAAGGAAGGAAGATAGCAATAGCACTTAGACTTATATACCGCTTCACCGTGCTTTCCAGCCCTCTCTAAGCGGTTTACAGAGTCAGCCTCTGGCCCGCAACAATCTGGGTCCTCATTTTACCCACCTCAGAAGGACGGAAGGCTGAGTCAACCTTGAGCCTGGTGAAATTTGATCTGCCAAATTGCAGGCAGTTGGCAGTCAGCAGAAGTAGCCTGCAGTACTGCACTCTAACCACTGCGCCCCCGTGGCTCATAGACATCATCAACTTGCTCATTTCTGGTTTCTGGTTACCATGCTGGGTACGCATCGGATTGGCCGTGGTTTAATTACATAAAACCACCACGAAATCACCTCCGTGGGTACTCAATGACTCATGACAATCTCTGCCTTCCAATAGATCAACTACCGAGGACAGCGTGTCAGCCTGATCCGGATACGAAACCCGTGGGGAGAGGTAGAATGGACGGGAGCCTGGAGTGACAGGTGAAGTGGGCATCCTGGAGTTGCCAGTGAACTACAATTCCCAGCATCCTTTGTCATGAAGTGGCCTTGCCTGGTTTAGAGAGAAGAAAATCCCCAGAATGAATGAAGCAGAGTTTTATCCATGTTTCATTCATTTCTATAAACGTTCCCCAGTCTCTAGAGTAGGAAGATCAACCTTGCTAGTTTTAAGATGTGTGGATTTCAACTCTTGGCGTTCTGGGAGTTGAAGTCCAGACATTTTAAAGCAGCCAAGGTTGAAAAAAAAAACATTAGAATAGACCAACCCAGAGCTTATCAATCAAGTGTGTGTTTGTTTTTTGGTGGTCTCCCTGGTTGTTCTCAAAACATCTCCGGGTGTCATATTTAATCAACATTTTAATAAGCTAGAATTCGAACCCAGCTCTCTGCAATCTTGACAGTCTTACCGTTTTTAATCCCTATCGATAAAGGGTTTTAAAAAAAAAAGCCCAGGCCCAATGAAATTTGGACTCAAGAGCTTGTTTCTGGTTTTATTCGTTTGTTTTCATAATTTAAATTTTCACAAGTTTTTGCCAGTTTCTTTTCCTGGGTTGATGCACACGCTGAACTCTTCCCGGCCTCATTAACAACCCTCAGCCTGCCTAAAATCTGGTTTGTTTCCTGGTGAATTTAAGGAGCCTTTTCACAACCATTGTTTTTATTTTTTTATTTTAACAGTTCTGGAGAGTGGAATGCGGTGGAGCCGGCTGTGGGGCAGCAGCTGAGAGTAAAAATGGAGGATGGGGAGTTTTGGTAGGTCTGGCTTTTACCTGAGTTTTAGCGGAACCTTTTATTTTATTGAAATTTTTAAAAACTTAATGGAGAAGATGTGGCATCTTCTCCATTAAGTTTTTAAATTTCAATAAAATAAAACCGTACAGTCATTGGGGATGGTTTTTAATTCTGTAGCTACTGTTAATATTATTTTAATATTTATGATTTTTATTGTAAGCCGCCTGGATTCACTTTTCAGAGTAAGAGGGGGGGAGGGAGGAAGGAGAGGGAGGAAGAAAAGGGAGGGAGGGAAGGGAAGAAGGAAAGAAGGGGAGGGAGGGAGGAGGGAAGGAAGGGAGGAAGGAGATAGATAGATAGATAGATAGATAGATAGATAGATAGATAGATAGATTCATAGATTCATAGATTCATAGATGATAGATAGATAGATGGTAGATGATAGATAGATAGATAGATAGATAGATAGATAGATAGATAGATAGATAGATAGATAGATAGATGATAGATAGATTCATAGATTCATAGATTCATAGATGATAGATAGATGGTAGATGATAGATAGATAGATAGATAGATGATAGATAGA